TATATATATATATATATATATATATATATATATATATATATATATATATATATATACACGTATATCTTTATATATATATATCTTTATCTTTATATATATATTGCTATCTATATATCTTTATCTATGTCTGTATCTGTACAACTATATCTATGTATCTTTATGTTTGTCTATATCTGTGTCTATATGTTTGTATGTTTGTATGTTTGTGTGTTTATATATGAATTGTGGCATTGGAGGACGTGGAGGGGGGTTGATGCTGCTGCTGCTACTCGTCCTGCTGCTGCTGCTGTTGCTGTTGCTGTTTGTGTTGCTGTTTGTGTTGCTGTTGCTCTTCTTGCTGCTACTGCTGCTGCATGGCGTTGCGTTTCCTTTTGTGAAATCTACGCCTTCACAGCTGTTCGTTTGTCTCTACTTGTTGCTGTCTTGTCGACGCCTCTACGCATGCATGCATGTATACATACATACATACATACATACATGCATGCATACATACATACATACATACATACCTGCATGCATGCATGCATGCATGCATGCATACATGCATGCATACATACATACATGCATACATACATACATACATGCATACATGCATGGGTTGTTTTCTGTTGCGGTGTGTGGTGTGTTGCATGGATGTTAGGCTGCTAAGCTGCCTGTGGAGGTGGAGGAGAAGAGCTACACCGTGCTGGACACCTCTGAAGGCGCCATCATGCTCCATGTCAACCACGGCGGAGAAGGGGTCGGGCTTCACTTATCTAGTTTTTCTTTGTTTTTTTTTATTTGGTTGTTTATATATATATATATATATTTATTTATTTATTTATATGTGTGGTGTTGTGTGTGTTTAGGGGCGTGACAGCGGGAACGTATACATATCTGACGGGAAGGGCATTCGTTTTTCTTTGTCTCTGCCCAACAACATTCGCGCGGGCACTGGCGAATGTGAATTTGATAAAGTGTTGTCGATGGAGGGGGTTTACATAGCCAACTTCAGAGACTCTATAGAGACGGGAGCAGCAGCAGCAGCAGCAGCAGCAGTTGGTGGTGGTGTTGCTGCTGCTGGGAGCACCGGACCGAACGCGTCTGCTGCTGCTGCTGCTGCTGCTGCTGCTGCAGCCGAAGCAGAACGCATGAAAGAAGAAGAACAAGAAGCAGAAGGTATAACCGCAGAGGTAGAGAGAAAACACGCCAAGGTAGCCAACAAAGCGAGGAGAGAAGAGGTGACCCGGACAGCCATCTCGTTCGATAAAGGGGGTGTATGGAGCTACCTAAAGGCCCCCCGCGTCGACAGCAGAGGCCAGAAGATAGACTGCAACCCCAGCAACTGCTGGCTGCACCTTAACGGCATAACAAAGTTCAACGAATACGCCCCCTTCTATAGCGTGGAGAACGCCGTCGGCATCATCATGGCCACCGGCAACGTAGGCAGCTACCTTCGCTCGGAGAAAGAAGAAGTAAACACCTACCTATCCAGGGACGGCGGCCTCACCTGGGTGGAGGCGCACAAAGGCGCATTCATCTACGAAATGGGAGACCACGGAGGACTACTCGTCATGGCTGATGACACCAAGAAAACCAAC